AGTGCATCATATGCTACATCTGACATTTTCTCCTCAACCCTTGGGTCTCAAGACTTGTCCCTTTGCCAGCTTGTTGGCATATCCAGCAGCTTTCCAACAACATATTGTTTGTCTAAAACTACCCATGTTAAGGTAATTTTTGACTTCGATATAGAGAGCCTGAATCCCAGGGCGCTGACAGGCCTTCTTGTGGGAAGTTAGTGCATCATATGCTACATCAGGTATTTTCTCCTTAATCCTTTGGTCTCAAAACTTGCCTCTTTGCCAGCTTGTTTGCCTATTCAGAAGCTTTCGAACAACGTATAGTTTGTCTAAAACTATTAATGCTAAGGTACCTTTTGACTGCGATATAGAGAGTCAGTATGTCAGGGCGCTGACAGGCCTTTCTATGGGATTTACTGCACAAAGTGGAAACTAAATGCATCATGTACTACGTCTGGCATTTTCTCCTCAATCCTTGTGTCTTAAGACTTGCCACTTTGCCAGCTTGTTGGCCTATTCAGCAGCTTTCGAACAACGTATAGTTTGTCTATAACCTCCCATGTTAAGATACCTTGTGACTGCGATAGAGGTAGTATGCCTGGACGCTGACAGGACTTCCTATGGGAATTACTGCAAAAATCGGAAACTGAGTGCATCATACATCTGGGATTGTCTCCTCAACCCTTAGGTCTCAAAACTTGCCTCTTTCACAGCTTGTTGGCCTACTTAACAGCTTTCGAACAACGTATAGTTTCATTGTCTAGAACTACCATTGTCAAGGTACCTTTCGACTGCACTACCTTTCGTCTTACTATGGATTTTACTGCACAGAGAGGAAAATAGTAGCATCATGTACTAAATGTGGCATTTTCTCCAAACCTCTTGCGTCTTAATTAAGACCTGCCTCTGTCCCAGCTCGTTGGCCTTCTCGTTAGCTATCCAAAAAGTATACTTTGACTGCGATATAAAGCGCTTGTATCGCTGGGTGCTGACAGTCCTCACTTTGGGCTTTACTGCAAAAAGTAGAAACTATATAAAGGCATCATCTCTTACATCCGGCATTTTCCCAGTCTCTTGCGTCTCAAGACCTGCCTGCTTCCCAGCTTTTTGAACAACAATTTGTCTAGCACTACCCATGTTAAGGTACCAGTACAGTTGACCGCTGACATGCCTTACAACGTGATTTACTGCACAAATTGGAACTTATACAGACATCATGTTCTACATGAGGCATTTTCTCATGGGTCACAAGATTTACCACTTTTCCAGCTTGTCGGCCTATTCAGCAGCTATTTGAATAACAAACCAATTGTCTAGAACTTCCCAAGCTAAGGTACCTTTCGAGGGCGATGTAGAGATTAAGGCTCGGGGCTGACTATGCGATTAATTCACAAGCAGTGCTATGAAATTGTAGTGTGAATTTTGGACTATAAAATGCTGATTCACTGGTAGTGTTGCGCATTCCTGAACGTTCAACCTCAGAATCAACCTCGTTTCCAGGCTACACCATGTGAAGTATAGGGCCTACGCATGGTTAAGATGACGTGCATGCACACTAACGAAACGGATATCCTCTGGTCACTGTTTTGTAAGGAATGGGAAAACTTGTATTATAATTTCCCTTTTTAACCCTAATACAGCGCGTATTTCAACGCTGATGGTCGTTTGTATGGAGGTTGGCAATTTATTGTAATGAGACAATAAAGACTTAATTTAAGGAAACAGACAGACTTGTATTTCTCCGAGCCGTCTCTCTTTACCTGTGGTAGCCAACCAAGCCCACGCTTTAACTCTCCAACAGTCACTAGAACGTCCTATAGCTTGCCCTAACCTTTGCTATTCCTCAATACCCATTCCTCAATTTGAGTTAAATTGACCCCATGTTCTTTTAAGCGAATAGCCCAAGCTTAAGGGTTACTGACCCAAAGTTATAAGCAAATACAACCCAAGCGTATATAGCTTCATAGCCCAAGTTTAGGGTGAAATGAAGTTCTACAAGTAAATAATTATAACTCAAAACAGTTGTATAACCCAAGCTTTGGGGTACATTTTTATAACCCAATTCGTTAGTCGGTATAACTAATCTTATCTTACCCAATCTAATCTTACCCACGTTTTGGTTAAATTTAACCAGAATTTGTTTTAGAAGACCAAACAAGGAGGATACTTATTTATAATTTTGGTGGGTGATGTTTACATCAGAATATGATCTTGGACAATGGGTGGCGCTATTCTTTAAAACGCATTAGTCTGGCTCCCTGACCACATTCTCATTTGGACCCATATCTTTAGAAGGGGGCCGGGCAGTCTGGTTCCCAGACCAAAAGATTCTGACTATTCCTGATGAATCTTAGGTCAGGTAGCCTCCGGTTATACATTAATTTACGTCACGTGACTAAAACGGGAAGAATTCCTCCTTTTTCCGAAAATGTCCAAAGTTTGCCGATTTCATTTCGTCGACAATCGGATAGCGCCCGAGTATTTCTGAGTATAATATAGGTTTAATTAACTGCTAATTGCTTATTAAAAAACTTTTTAAAATGAGTTGATACTTCAAAGACTATTTTGTGCATTTAGTACGGAAGCGTATATGACCATCCGCGTTACTGCGTTACTGAGATAAAATATCTTGGAAACATGGAATTCCCTGAAAGGCTATCGTGGAAATGTGGAATACTGTGATAGCCTATCACAGAAATGTGGAATTCCGCGATAGGCTATCGGGAAAACGTGGAATACTGTGATAGCCTATCACAGAAATGTGGAACTCCGTGATAGGCTATTGCGGAAACGCGGAATACTGTGATAGTTTATCACGGAAACGTGAAATATCGTCATGGCCTAACACAGAAACATAGAAAACGCCTGATAGACTATCGTGAAAGCGTGTAATTCCGTGACGATCGAGCTATCGTGGAAACGTGGAATTTTTTGAAAGGCTAACGATAGCATGGCATTTTGCTTTGCCACTATAAAACAAGGAATTATATATTTCTGAGATACCCTATTGCAGTATTCCACGTTTTCGTGATAGGCTATCACAGTATCCCGCGTCATCCACGATAGCATATCACGGAATTCCACTTATTCACGATAGCCTATCACAGAATGCCACGTTTCCACGATAACCTACCACGAACTTTCAACGTTTCAATGAAAGGCTTTCATGGAATTCACCGTTTTCATGATAGGCTATCGCTGCAATCCAATTAGTTGTAAAGATGTTTTATGATGGAACTATATGTTTCCAAGATATTTTATCTCAGTAACGCAGTAACTTGGATGGTCATATACGCTTCCGTAATTGAGAGAGCGAGTAGTGATGGGCGCGTACTGCTCGACACCCTGGGGTCGAGGTTGAGGTCAGGCAGCCTCCATAGTTAAAAATAAGATTGGCGACATTGATTGGCCTTTTTCAAATCTCGGCTTCGTTTCCGATTTCGCTTTATCACTTCAATGTTCTAATCAATTTTTTTAGAAAAATCACTTGCTTCGTAATATCATACAGATATGATAATACAGTTTGATATTTCTGTAAGATGACATTGACTAATGTTATGTGGAATCTTCAAAATTAGGCACCCAAATAGCACTGCTAGCAGGTGGAGCCGAATGAAGGCCGATGTTTGGAAAATTTAGGTAGCTTGGGTCGTCAAATTCAACACTAGTAAACGACGCAGCAAAAAGTTCGCCCATACGATCCGAGTATACGGATGGTCATATACGCTTCCGTACGTATTGGATCTTGCATGTGCAAGATTTTTGAACACGTATGCAAATGAGGAATAGTCGGTGGCCTGTATGTGCGTTTAATACATTAATATCGTTCGTTTTTGTATGCGGTGTTTGGGGTAAAACGGAGTCAATTCGTCGCAGCGCGAGCACAACGTGAGTTACGAAAACACGATTTATTTAATCAAACTGTTACGATCTTATTACAACATGAAGTATCACATTTCATATTAATACGAACAAATTGGAAATGAAAGGAATAAGGGCGTGGACGAATGATCGTGAAAGCACGTACTATGCACGTTGTGAATAACAACACCAAGTACACGATAAAAACCCATTACTCGTCAATTGCGACATCGAATCAGGATACAGGAAGAAAGTTTCCTATCCAGGGCTTATCATTGGAAACACGGCTGGAAATAATGTAAGCACTGGGTAAACCTACAATTTAGACGTGAGCGTCGGGAATAATGGTCAGGTCTGGGAACCAGACTAGGGGCCGGGAAAACAGTCTAGAAACACAATTTGCTAAAACACGATTTTGCCGAAAAAGGGTCACTCTGCATGCCGACAAGTTCGTTTCTGGTTTTACCCCCCCCCCCCCCGCAAAAAACTGCATAAATTAGTGGCACTTTTCACTACTTCGTATTTTACTTGTTATTTTGGAATTGGCTACAATGAATTTTAAGTTTTTATTCATCAGCACGAAAAAAAAAATCTGCGGGGACAGTCCATCCCCTTGTCAAAAGGTGAGGGATATGCCCCTCCCTCTTCCATTCCCGGGTTTTACGCCCTTGCTGTTGACAGTAGGCCCTGTAGGGCTGGTAAACTCCTCGAGCGTGCATCCTCCTTTTCAGTTCAAGGCCCTTTCACACTATTCGGAGCCGATTCCCGGCCCGGGAAATAAACTCCCGGGTCAGGGCGCTAGCGGTGGAACGCGAGGAAGGTACCAACCTGACTCCCGCTAAAATGTGTGGAGGGGGTGGGCAATGCCACGAACTGTACCGTGAAACAACTGCTGTAGATTATTAGGCATAGGTCTTAAAATTTTACATTGGGGTGCTTTCTACTTACTTTGCCCAACACATTAATAACGATAAAAAGGAAAACAAAGGCAGCGCGGCGCGCCATAAAAACTCAGTCGCCCTAATAACACAACGCGCGCGACGAAAACTAAACATGCGAACGCGTTGCACTAGGCGTGTGAATAATGATAACCACCAACCACGCACTGCACGCCGTACCGCGTACCGTACTACGAAAACAGCGCCTCCTATAAATCGCGTCACGCCATGATGAATACACGAATCGCACACGGAACAATTTCGCTGTTTTCGAATGGAACAAACGAACGGCTGAGTCGGTTGGATAATCGCCGTCCAACACAAAACACAGCCCATACACGCCAGTGTGTTCATGTACTACTACTAGACTAAACTCCGCTATCAAAGAACTTGTTGACAAAATCACCTCGCTTCTACCGTACAGCTTTTATTGATCCGGAGGCCGTGGCGACGGAGATTGGCCCAAGTCACGCCACGCTGTCACGGGAAGCATACAATTACGGCGACGGCTGGCTGAGCCCGGGGTGGTGTACGGTACGCTACGGGCAGGCACACGGTCGAGCTCCGAGGGGGGCTGTTTGTTTGACTTAACGGAGTTTGCCCAGCTAGTTCGCCATTTGCTGTTATCGTGTCAACGAGCGATAGTCGAGCTGCACTGCATGCACTACTCGCATCTAGCTCTACGAAGGTCGACCCGTATACTGCGTCGAAGTTGTCCAGCTTTTGCTCTTGCATGGTAAGACCAACTTCAACTTTTAGCCATACAGAATAAGACTCAAAGAGACGTAGGGAGCATACATGTATTCACATTCGTTCACGACAGTCACTTACAATTTGTGAACATAGTACATGGGGCTCAGTCGCCTCCACGTGATGTGCATGGTTCCATGGGAAATATTTATCGTGTATGCGCCGTGTGTTGTACCCCCACTGCTTGAGGTGTTGTTAGCAGTAGCATACACGATTACGAGATAACAGTTAGGCCTACAGCCTAGATAAAAAAAAGAGTGCCCACTTCCTCTGTACAGGCTTCCATGTCAAACATTGGCCTATCATGAAACGGAGTGTTCAGACAAGAGTTTGACGATTTTCAACCGAGAGTAGCGGCGATTTTCAACCGGGAGTAGCGGCGAGTACACAGCCGCCATCGATGTTGGTTATGGACAGCCATGCAGGGCCGAAATCACGAAACTCGTCGTAACTAGTGTAGATAGACCGTGGACTGAGACAGGTCGGCTGCACGCAGAAAAGTTTGCAAAGCAAAACACTGAGGCTAGCTTAATCAGATTTGTTTTAGGTGTGCTCGAATCGATCCAACCATGGAGGAATAATCCAACCATGATCCAGCCAACAAAATTCTTCAAATTTTCACTATTCAGTAGGGCAAAGCTGGGGGAAAGAATGTTGCAGCCTGACGCCAATTTTCTCATATAATATCTCAATGGAGGTCGATCATTGCAAAAATGTTGGAAGGATGAATCTGGTACTGGAAACATTCAATTAAAAAAAAAAAATTGAAATGGGCTCAACTCTCCATAGACTTTTGCAAAAAGAAGTGGCGTCTGGATACTACATTCTTTCCAATAAGAAATTTTCAGCAGAGATATAGCAACACCAAAATCAAAATTTCCGTTTAGCACATTATAAGTTTTGAGAAAACCTTACAAAGCATCTTTTTCTCCATGCAAAGCAAGGCTTCAAAGTTGAAGGCCCTTCCAAAATTGTTCATTGGTACGTTTTGGATTGCACCCTCTTGTACTAATGATCCCTAGTTTGTCTCTCCGAAAAACAATTCTTCTTCACGGATTTTGTAACCGATTAATTGCAAACGAAAATAAATTCAGCCAATTTGGGGCAGTATATCATAAAGAAACAGTTTTTTGCGATGGTTGGGTCCTTACCATCGCGAGGAAATTATGGTAATTCCTCTTTTCAGCAAAGGCGACCATACTAGGTGCAGCAATTACGCATGCATGATACTTGAACATATTCCTATTATTTACTTTAATCAAGTAGGGGTTTTCATAATAGTTTGGCAGTTCCGGTTTGGAATGTTTGCAAAGGATATCTGTTATTGTAACCAACATTTTTCGGGCCAAGTATTTTGAAGCAACTAACTACCTGTTTCGCTATTTTTTCATTCACGTGGGCATACACTATTTGCATGCCCTAATTTGGGACCTCAATCAATAATTTTTGGTACAATCGCTAGGTTCAGCGTTCCTGGTGAAATTGACTCTTTTTTATTGACCATGGTTTTCAAAGCGAGCCTTAACCTCTTTACAAAATGGCGAGGGAATACGGTATAAATGTCCGTATTTAATAAAATATAAAAAAATATTTACAAAGAACAGAGATCAATGGACTAGTGTCGAGTCCACTCGCTTTAATAGTGTAATGAGGGACCGATTCAGTCTGGTTTCACGACTATACGGTCTGATGCAGCTTACTATAATAATAGCACCAGCCGTCCCCGTTTTTATAGAATGCCGGAAAGTTGGGTTAATTTGACGTCGAGACTAGACGGGGACCAAGGCAGTGTGGGTCGTGGGGCCGGGGCTGGGCTGGGCGTAAGGCCCCGCGCGTCCCGGTCGGATGTGCCAGGTCGGGCTAGGCCCTGGCTGGCTGCGATAAACACGAGACGGATCAGTGATAGTCCCCTTCCCCTCTAATCAATCCACACCATGTGTACCAAAAAAGGGGAAGAGAACGGCGGAATTAATTTCCTCCAATTTTACACCGGCTAATTCTGTATATAATTTCAAGGTAATTTTAGAGCGCCGATACAGCATGCATTCTCTCTAGAGTGAATCGTTCAAATTATTTTATGTCTATACCCTTGTGTATGGTTTCAAGGATTACAGCGCAAGAGAACCGCAAGAGGATTAGTGCAAGATAGCGTTACTTTGCAATCAGATTCAAAACACTATTGCTAACGCAATTTCAGAACTTGTCTGGCCCGCCCCAGAAGTCTTGCCCAATTCAACTTAGACCATACAAGCTTTTAAAATGGATGATTTTCCTGTTCACTTTCTTCGGTGGAAGTGAGCAACAGCAACAGGCGTATAGCTTGAACAAGTCAGATCCCGATTGCCAGCATACAGACGGAGAAGTTAAAATGTCCAACAATATCCGCCTAACACTGCGCTGTCTATAGTACCTCTTGGGAAAAAAGTTATGTTTACTTCCGTAAACAAACAAACCGTGGCCGCAGCGATGAGCCCCCCCCCCCCTCCCTCTCCCCTGCTCCCCGCTTCAACAGAATTTAAGTGGTCGGTTACGAGTAGGTTGTAACCGACCACTTGGATGATGAAAAGCTAAAATAAAAAACTAAATTGGTCTGCCTGTGGCAAAAATTAGTGAAGGTTTTTGGTTTTTTCCTGACGATCGTTGCTCCAGGGTTGCGCCGGTTAGGCATCTCTAAACAGTCGTCTGATTTTTCTATATAGTAGAGACGGGAATTCAACTCACGGTTGTTTCATGCAGTATGCGCTTCCAATTGTTTCCACAGAATTGAAGCACGTGAGGTGACACATTATTAACTTACAGCCAAGGGCGTCAATCGCTTCTCAAAAGTGTGTGTGTTGGGGGGGGGGGGGGCAGACCTTGATCAGAAATCATGCGAGTGCGAAGCCCCAACGGCGTTAGGCTCGGGACCCACTTAAGGGCCCCAAATATTTTTGCATTCCAGACGTTCTGTTGTGCGATCTGAGGCAACTTCTGACTAAATTTTTAAAGCAAAAGATCATCATTTAAACATCATTTTCGAATTGGAACTGAGTCAGCCGCTACAATATTTATTCGGGTACGAAAAAAGTGGGGGGGGGGGGGCACAGACGATATGATATCCCCCCCCCCCCTTGAAAAGTGTGGGGGGGGGGGATTGACGCCCCTGCAGTTACAGCTCCACTTAATCCCAACTGTTTACTTGGAACTTTAGATATCAGTTTTGAAGGAAACTATGTTTATTCCTGCTGTTTTCTTGCCGCCTTCCCAAAATCACTCCGCGTCCGACGCCTGAAAATGTGCCTACATCAGAACATGACGCGCACGAGAACTGCATGACAAGTCAAGGTCCAAAAAATGAAGGGCGGGACAACACGCAGCGTTTCTCCGTGCCGCTATGGCGATCATCGGAGGTTAAGGACCCGGGGCCCCGCGCCGTTCCGACCCCCGTAGACCTATGCCGTGTGACGTGGCGCACGCTCGGCGCGGTGAACGGCCCCGCGGGTGCATAGCTGTCATGTACTATAGTTGGATGGAGGTGAGGAGCCAGGCGGACGAAGTCTAGTCTGGTGCGCAGACCGTGACGGAGCTAGCTGCGAGTTCAACGATCGCTCGGGCGGGAATTTCTCCCCGCTGGCTGGTTCCTTCTTTCCCTCTATTATATTGTGTGTCGGCACTTTGCTTGAATCATCCTCAAGAAACGCACTTGACCGGTGGATCGCATTGCCATAAGCACCCTGTGCGAGACATTCCAACACTTTGCGCGGTACCCATATAGGCAGTCCAGATGTGCCTTCTTTCTTCACGAAAAAATTCCACTAAAAGCGCTCTGCTTTACAGACCATTTATGTTGGTAATATTGGTTCTGAATTAATCTGTGGAAGCAAAATGATTCTCACCTGACCAAGTTAGTGTTCAGTTAGGTTAGGTATTGTCAGCTTCAAATAGGTCCACTTTAATTGGCTCAGTTGTAGACCAACACTCAGGATTAGGGTTTGGGTCCTGAATGAAATTATTTCTGGAAACGATGAAAAAAAATTGCATGTTGCACACGACGGCGCTATTTATAGAGTTTGTGCAGGAATAGGTGGGCGAAACTGTTCCTGTCCTCTCTGATCGAACGCACACTCATCTGGTGAGGTTGGTTGCATCGCTGATTATCAATAGTCGCGCGTTTGGCAATCTACAGCAGGGAACCAGTGCCGAGTGTAGTTTCTTAGGATGATATTGACCATGGTCCGATGAAAGGCATTCGCACTTCAGTGATTGCACAGGCGCAAAATACGTCACTACTAAACCAGTGGACAACCAGCTGAACTTGCTGTGTTGCCATGGATATGGATGACTGGGCTATTTTGGCGGGACCTCTTTTCAAAATAGAGTCTCGGATATTTACAAAAAGGTCCCCTTAAGGTATACTAGGTCCTTTTTAAGCAAAAAACCGACAACTCGCCTAGATTCTTGCCAATGGTTGATCACGTAACGGATTCTTAGTTTTTCTCGTTCTGTCGATGGCTCTATTCTCACGAAATGGCTCTATTCTCACGCAAACTCGCTCGGCGGAATGAATCTCGCATTGTGTGTAACTTTTGTTTACCAAGTACCAGAGGATACAGGCGACGTTTGAATGCGAAACACACACAAACGTGTGTTCGCCGTCGATCGTGGACGTCCTATTGTCCCTCTTTAATTTGTTTGTTCTCTAACTTTTTAGGAAGACTCCCATATGTTTTGTACACGACCCCAATCATGGACGTACGTATGCTGGGAATCGTGGACGGTTCTCTGGTATTTTTTCGCCGTCCACGGTTTGAAAAGATGAACACGTACACTGGTACGTGAATATACAGTTTGTTGCAAAGGGGAGCAACAGAAAGCAAAGTCTTCTACAAAATCGTTGGCTAAGGCGTTTTCATCAGTGTCCCAATATTGTAATCCCATGCAGGATCCAGAAAAATGGCACACAACTTTTTGGTTCAAAATGGCTTCTCGTTACCGCGAACGACATTC